ACGTTCTTGGGTCTTATTGACTTATTCGCTTCTCGCATCAATAATCAGTTTCCAAGTTATGTTTCCTACAAACCAGATCCAACTGCTAGTGCGATAGATGCATTCTCATTGGATTGGTCTGTGTTGAAATTATATGCATTTCCCCCCTTTAGTGTTATTCCAGCCTGCCTAAGCAAAATGGTATCAGATCAGGCAACAGGAATTGTTGTTCTCCCAGATTGGCCAACTCAGAGTTGGTTTCCCAAAGTTCTGCACATGATGGTCAAGGAGAGAGTGCTGATGAAAGCCAGAAAGGATCTTCAGTTTCTACCGAGCCACCCATCCGAAGTACATCCCCTGTGGGAAAAAACTCAGTCTGATGGTATGTCTATTATCAGGGAAACCCTAAATCACATTGGGCTGTCTCCCAGTGCACAAAAAGGGGTAATGGCATCATGGAGGCCTGGTACTTCTAAACAGTATGATTCATACCTCAGAAAGAGGTCTTGCTATTGCAAGGATAATGGCATTAACAGATGTCATCCGACCATTACCCAGGCAATTGAATTTTTAGTATCTCTATACTCTTCAGGACTTGGCTATAGAAATGTAAATTCGGCACGCTCAGCACTCTCAGCGTTGATAATCATGGATGGTGGGAGTAAATTTGGGGAGCATCCCTTAGTTTGTCATTGTTTCAAAAGGGATTTATGAACTTAGGCCTGCATTGCCTAGACTCGGCGAGATTTGGGACGTTAATATTTTCTGGACTACCTCAGGACCGTGAAGTTGGCCCAGGAGTTATCGTTAAAGGACCTTTCGTTAAAATTGACAATGTTATTACATCTAATAACTGGCCAACGAGGCCAGACGTTTCATCTATTTGACATAATCATATACAAGCAGTTGGGGACATGTATAGGTTTAACTTCATGGACAAACTGAAGCAATCAAGGCCAGGAAAGCACCTGGAGCCTATCGAACTTTTAGCCTTTAAAGAGGACAAAAAACTTTGTGTACTGGAGCATCTGACTGAATACCTTAGTAGGACCAAGCCACTAAGGAAGGAGCATTCCCAGTTGCTCTTAACCTACATCAAGCCTCATCATCCTGTTTCGCGGGACACTGTATCTAGATGGACAAAGGCAGTTATGAAATCGGCAGGAATTGACATCACTGCCTATTCTGCACACAGTACACATCTGTAGCCCCCTTTCGACAATAAATGCCGTTATTGTTGTTGAACTATGTCTGATTTTGTTGATAACTCATGGCACAGGACTTTGAAGTCTCATGTGACTCCGTAGTGACGTAGACTGATGACAGGATAGAATCCCAATCAAACTTCAACTTACAGGTAAGTCTCGTTTAATTTTGTAATTAGCCTCCCCAATTCGGGGAGCGTTGCGTGACATCCAAAAAAAAAAACGGCTGCGAGGGAGACTAGTGCTGACGTGGAACTAAAATCAATTTTAACGCGTACCCCGAAACAAGCCGTTATACCAGATGTGGCGTTTACAGCTTCAAACTAATTCAAAACAGCTGATTTTGTAAAGAAAAAACCGGCTAACAACTTGAAAATTATGCTTCATTGCTGTGTAATGTAAGGAACCCATGCTGAAATTAAGATGACAGTTTGTTTTTCAGAGTTCGTGCGCCGTCGCGAGTACTCGGTCTTAGCCTTCGTTCTAAACTTATTTCCTCGTTATGAACATTTCGGATCTTTTATTTTCAGTCACACCTATTTCACTACTGAATCGTTGATTATGGATGCACATCTATCATTCTTCAGTTTGGTGAGAAGCTTCATTACGATCATCAGATGTCAAAAAAAAAAAAAATTGACAGCTCTGCTTTCGCATTTCATGTGTCGTGAAGTGTGGCGCCACTACGCATGCGATTGTTGTTACCAAAGAGATAATGATAAAACAAGGAACTCATTAAACACAATGAAGATGCCAAATTTAAAACTAAGAGTACCATAACCCGAGAGCTCATATGTCGATTAGAGATTCTCTGTAGTTCAGTTGTTCGTATAGCTAACGTGTTCATCTTAATCTGTTCCGACAATCTTAGGTAATTTTATGAACGCTTGGAAGACCACAGAGAACTCACTAACTCAAGTAAATTGATCTCTCGTAAAGTTCATGCACAGATCCGGTTTCAAAATGTACTCTCTTAAATTTTGTCTGTGTGTTAGCATTCAGATTTAGCTTATAATATCTAAAAGTATTCATTTTAATGATCTCAAAGATTCACCGAATACAACGACAGCGTCGCTTCAGTTGTTCAACTCTGTCTTGTAAACATTTCTTGGCCTCGCAGTGAGTTCGTCTACTCTTTCCACGTGTATTTATTTCTTGCGCACGTGTTGAAGAGATCAGGGTCCAAGTTTTGATGCACAAAAAATAAACAAAAGGGAGCTTGTTTCAACTTGAACTTTCTTTTGAAATCCAAGGTAAGTAACCTGAACCAAGGAAACAATCGCTAGCCATTACGCATAAAAAAGATTATCGCTTCCGGGTTATAATTTTCAAAGAAAGGAATGTTTTAGTCAAACATCTTATATGAGTTTGTGATTCTCTCTTGCATAATCCTACCGAACAATACATATTTTTAATAAACAAATACACAAAACTCAGAAAAACACCTAGCTGGCGAAAATCATCGGACATAAGTTCGATAGAAAATCGTTAAGTCATGCGACTTTCAAGACGAGGTAATTTCTGCTTTTAAAGAAGGTTGTATGCCGGCTTTTTTCTCACCCGGAAAACCAGCCCTGTTAACTTAACAACTGTCCGGTTTCAGGAAAAGTGTTCTATCGTATTGCAGAAACTACATGGCTAAGGTCTTATACAAAGTATGGCAAGGAAATGTTTGGTCGCGTGACTGACATAGCGAGGGATATTTTTGGTGATTTGCCGATGCGCTTTTTAAAGTAAAAAGAAAAGATTCGCAGAAACGGAGTTCGCGCTTGTGTCCAATCGAAAATGGTGTCCCTTGCTTGATCATTCGCCTTTCCGAAGACATTCCAGCTTTTTAGCTTTCACTGAATTATTTTCAAGATGTTAAATCGACAAAATGGGTAATGCAGCTCGGGAGAGAAATCATGCATTTTCGTCGATATTTCTAAAGGAATATTGGTTAAATCATGAAGATATCTAAGTTCAGACTTACCGCTTCTCTTAAGTCACCAGGACTGATGAGTGAAGCCGATATATTTTTCGGTGTGATATCCTAGCGCTTGCACAGTCAGTGTAATGAATAACTCGCCCCTGACCTCAGTTTATCAAGCCTTAATGTTTCTATGACAAATTAACAAAGGGGCGGATTAGAGAATGCAAAATATGCTAAATCATCATAGGTTAAGTTCACTTATAATGCAGAAGCGGTTGTCGAATATGTTCCCCTCTAAAGCTTATACGAGTTCGCAGTATGTTTTTGACTTAGGTTGTAAAAGGCATAGGATTAGATAAAGGTGAAATTGGAGCACCTCATCTTTCTATGGCGCGCCGAAGCGGACAAAAATACTTGTGTATGGATATTAGCGCTATTAAAAACAGGATCTTTGGATAATGCAATTCAAGACTTTTTATTGGCTT